CAGAAAGCAAGTGAAAACATCATACGCTCCTTTTTGTTCCTCTGGCTCAAATATCATGCTTTTTGTGAACCAACAAAAAGAATGTTGAGCTGTTTGATTCACTAGTGTCTCACCGAAGACTAAAACTCCGTTTCATTTTCGTTACTTAACCCTACCTCATATCCCTTCCCCTACACATTCCAGTTTAAACCCCTAACAATGCTAAGGGGAGGGGCTAAAAATCTACACCTTTGAATTGGGACACCCCTACAAAGTCTGATGTGTAACTTCTAATGTGTAATGTAAATTTTGTTAGGTTAATTATAATTGTTTTTTAAAATTGAAACCAATAAAAAAGGATAATTATTATAAGTACATACACGTTTTTGGTGGTGTGTTTTTGCTACAATGGTATTATAATGTCACAATGTCACTTTAAAAATATATTTAAAAAATGTAAAACAAACAAACAAAAGAACACATTGAAATCACCCAGAATTGTTGTATGTTTAAAGTATATTTTAGTTTAAAGTGTAAAAGAAAACGTAATGTAAACGAACGTAAATGTTACCATAAAGTGTAGTAAAATTATTTTAAAGTGTGTTGAAAACGTGCTGTTAGTGTATTTTAATGTACTTACAAAAAGTACAGTGTGTTTAAATACAATATAAACACACTATCATAAATATATATATAATTTAATAATATATTTAATTTGTAATTTTGGTATTTTATTTGTATTTTAAGAACCTTTCCCCTCTGCATAGTATAACATAAAATAAAAAGACAGCAATATGTAATTTAAAACTCTGATATTTTATTATTATTTATTGCAGCTGGAAGACAATACATTACATGAACATCGGTTTCAGGAGAGGTATGTGGAAAAATAACGACATGACATCTGTCAATAGACGGTGTGGCTATTTACATCAATGAAATAGTTTGCTCTTGTTCTTTGGCAAAATGATTGCACAACAAGGAAACGCACAGCTTCAGACTCACACAGCATCAGCAAATGAGTGTATTGAAAATATACCCGCTCAAAAAACATAGTCTTCATTGTGCTCTAAAAGTCATCTCTGAACACGACATTTTGGGAAGAAACAAACGTACACAACATTGACGAAATCCTTATATTATTTATGCAACATATAATTTTAGAGGCAGTGAGAGTTCTCCAGTAAATAATTCATGCATATTTCTCCCCCTTTTGTCTTGTCTGGATTCTTTTGCAAGCGTCGGCAGTTTGATACAAGTTTGGTACAAGAGAACAAATAACATATAATGTGCACCATTTAAAACCATAACAGCAGCTTACAGCTTTATAGTCAAATAAAAAAATGCGAAACGTTTGATAAAGTAAGTAACGTTGTCGCTCTCTACATCCAAAACAAAGTGCTTAAAAGTCAAACAGGAGCATTTAGAGTGACTGGGTTTTAAGGTTTATATGGAAGTGCAGCACTGGCAATGTTTTGACCCCACTGGCCTTCCATACTTTACATTGCGGGTAAAATGACACTTTTTGTTTTGGAACCAAAAGGCTTTCAATGTAGCTGATAATTAATACAAATTAACAAACAATGCTGCTACGCTAATAATACCTTGATAGAGGACATTTGGATGTAAAAAGGGGCACTTTTGCAAATATAGCAGAGCACACGATGGAAAGCCCTTCCACCACTGAATAAAATGATTATTAATTCATTTATTTTATTATTTCTGTGATTCATTTATTTTATTATTTCGTTTCGAAGCGATCAGAATTTCTCATTTGGGATTTTTCCTGTTTAGAGTCATGGAGATCAAAGTGCTCGAATGGTGGGGTACATTCTAGACAATTCGTCAGTGGTTGTAGGGATACACTCATTCAACATTTACTCTCATATTAACTTCTGACGAGACTTTAGAGTCTTCGATGTGTCTGAATCATATTTTGTGGATGGGTGAGGAGGTCACAGAACCTGCAGGAAACCAACAGAAAGGCGGGCTGTGAGCACGGCACCACTGTGCTGCTGAATTATGGAGCTATTACTCAAATTCTAAGGTGAACCTCAATCACTGCTTTATGCAAATAAATCCCAATATTTCTGGGAAATATTGGGATTATTTATTGGCCCTTGTCTGGATTGCAGGGTGCTAACACTCTTTGTGATACTTCTAATCTAGACCAGATTGCTTAGAATGTAATTTTGTATTTTTCTAATCATGAAAAGAAAATCAGAGCTGGGATTATTTTGGGCGTTACGTCTTTGTGTATTTTTAAGAGTAACTTAAACTGCTCTTAAGCGCAAGAGTTAATATTTTTCTCTATTATTTGGTGGCAAAGGCTTCCCGTGGAAACAGATCATGTAGTAATGCTCTTATCTGCTTGTTAGATGTACTCCATATAGTTTTTCATCAGCTTGGGTCACATTTTCTAAGAAAACCCGAGCCAGTGTTTACTTAACCAGAATGTGTGTGTCTCATCAGCCAATGACTAACTTTATTAATCACATGGAACAACCAATGCAACGTCCGTGTATTTCACATTATTAAAATAATTAATAAAAAACAAATGTCAAGCCTGCTTTTCCATGTCCATATGCACCAAACAATTGGACGTTTTGATATGGAGTCAACATGGAATGAAAACAGCTATTTCTTTATCCCAGTCATTTCGTACAATTTTTGATATAGAGCTGCAGTTTTGAACTATAATAAAAGAACTGACATCCAAGCACACGCAAGAAAGGCAGGCACAACCTTAAAGGGTGCACAGATTTAGACAAAGTTCATCCAACACTGATTATAAACCACAGCTGAAAATCAACGTCGATGAATTAAAAAAGGACCATTGAACCGAGGACCACGAAAAGGCAAAAGCAGTTTGACCTGATGTTCAAAACAAGGCAGATCAGTTCATGAATGGGGTTTCGGGTTGTCTCCTCCTTTGGAAGAGTTGTCTGCCAGAGAAATTCACTCTTAAAAAACGAGTAAAGAAAGGAACCCACACTTTTAAAGAGATAGTTCATCCAAAAATGAAAGCCGTTTATTCAATGTTTTCTTTATAAAAATCACTTTAACCACGTCGTGTGAACACAGCCTTTGGAGTCGTCGTCTAGAGCAGGGGTGGGCAGATCAAGTACCCTTGTCGCAGTGAGCCGCAGCATTCTGAACCCATTGAAGGTTGAGTAAAAATTCATTTTTGAGTGGACTGTCTCTTTAAGAGATCCTTCATACCATTTTCTGGTAAGAAAATAAGCCATGCCTCATGCTAAATATCTATTTTACATGGTCTTTCGTTCAGAGAAGAAAATAACTTCTGTCTATGTACAAGCACCCATGCAGTTCTGTACACTTCTGCAAAAGACACACTGTTACAGTTGCATCCTCACAGGACAAATTGCTTTGATTGTGATGAATAGAAAAACAAATAAGATGAATAAAAAAGATCGACAATTTGGAAATAGGCAGTTTGGACAAATTGCTTCATTAAAGATTAGATTTAGTGTGCTTTAAATAAGAACAAACAGCATCAGAAATCGTCATTACCTGCATATTGCATTTGAACGTTATAGAGAGAGCGTATTTTGTATTCTTGCTATCAGATTTAACGCATTAATTACATTTTCATTTAATAATTTAATTGACCTGGCGCTTCGTTGAGGTTATGACTACTTTTAAAGCAATTTTTCGTCAAATAAATTGTGCAATTTTAGCACGTTCCTCGACAGGCTACATCTTTGGCACACTTGAGAGCAGCATAAAAAAAGTTGGATTTCTGATGTGTCTGAAGGACTGCTACAAGGACACGAAACGCCATCTTTTAAAGCAATGGTCTCCCCACAATTCTGTCATTAATACATGGAATTTTGGTTCATCCTCATCTCAAAAGGACAGATGTGAAATCAAATGCGACTGTTTTACTTTCAAAGAAGATCAAAGGAAGATGGAGTTACGTCCTCCATTGAAATCTATGGAACGTGTCAATTATTTCCAGAGGATGAACGAAACTGCAAAAATGAAGATGAATAATTAATGACAGAATTGTTTATTTGGGTTAACTACATCTTGAAACAAAGACTTGATGAATTTAGAAAATTGTGTTCAAATGACCCAAATTTTACTATGGCTTTTTCCCCTCTGCGCATTAGCATGCGGAATCACACATATAGCAACAAGAGGATCTTTCACCCGTGAAATCAAACCGAACAAGGGACAACAGTGATTTTAGCGATATTGCAACGACTGACTACGGTTCACCTGGAACAGAAGTAAGCCGCTTTCACACTGAGCTGGACTCCAGATAATACTGCCAGAGATCCCATACATCTTGGGATTGAGCCTAGGGCACACTATCAGTCTGGGATCAGTTCAAAAAACAAACGGTAACGGCTCACACCGTCTCCTGCCCGGACAGTTACATCGCAAATATGGGCACATTTCAATGCTAGAATGAGCGGAACTTTTTAAAGTTTTCAATCTTGTGCAAATTGACATTTTTTTCTTTCAACCAAAGCTTCTGTATTTATTTAAACAGCCACATTTGTCACAAAGTCAACATGGAAACCAGTTGCCTCAAAACATTTAAAAATTGAAGGTAAACATTACCCAAAAAGTATAATGTATACAAAAAGTACATTTTTGAGTACTGTATACACTGTAAAACTGAGGTCGATTAGCCAGTCGGTTCCACATAAGTTTTGAGTACTTTTTGTGGAATAAATCACTGATTACTGCCCAAACCCCTTCAGATAACTCCTAGATATACTTTCCCTGACATTTTATTCCCATGAACACTAAAAGCATCCCAAGTGTTGTCAAGAGCATGCCAGACCAACAGGTGGCGATATAATCCTCACTCATAGTCAAATCAGAAGCTTCTAATTTAGTCACTATCAGTTCAAGACAAGGCAAAATGTTGTTTTGTTGTTTTAAATCCTAATCTGATCATTGCTTTTACATTTACGCAACAAACCGATGCTTTTACCCGAAGCGACCTACGTTACAAGAAATGATCGCATTTCATCAGTTCTGACTCTCCCTGGGGGTTGAACTAGCAACCCTTGCATTGTTAGCGCAATGCTCTACTGACTGCGCTACAGGAATGCTTTAAACCAGTGCTGCATTATGCATATGGACAATAAACCGTACAACACTATAGGTCTAGGGTCTGAGATGTCACTTTCTGTGAAAAAGTAGGCAGTGGGAGAAATCTAAAACCACCTGTTGGTCTAAAGGGCCCACACCTTTAATTAGCAGAGTTTTATGCCTTGATATGACTTCAATTCATAAGTACCAGTTGTTTTTATGTTTGGATTTGTCATGAAGGTCAAAAAAGGTAAAAAAAATGTGTTTATTCTGCATTAAAGTTGGCCTAAAGCTAATGAAGGTGGTCAAGAGGCTGCCACAACAGGTGTAGACGAATAACCACCTGCCTAACCCCCCCCCCCACCATGGATGTGGACAGAACCTCAAAGAAAACCTCTCCTAACAACTGGACTGAGATCCGTACTCCATCGAATGTTAACTTTTGGCATTTTGCTAACCAAAAATTTGGCCACCCACCCGTCTGCAGGCACTCAAACTTAACCAGCTGCAGACTACTTTCCATTGCAGACTACTGCCCAAAATTTGAGACCAGTGCAAGTATAACGTATCCAAGGAAATGCATGTGAATGTGCCCACAGATGCCACTCAACTTTTGGTTGTATAGACGAGTCAAAACCAATCATCCCGGGACAAATCACTTAACGAATATTTCAGAATTCCAGAATGAAAGCGACGTCCTTGTGTTCTGGGTGTTTTATTCCTTTCATTGCTCTAACTCACCGTCTTCCTCTTTCAGTTCCTTCTGAACTTTAATTATCTTTTTACTCAAACTGGAACGAACGACGCCAGCCAGGTGAAGCAGTGACCCGGCCGCCTCCTTCATCTCCTCATCCTCCTCCTCCTCGTCTTCCTCCTCTTTGACTAGGATATTTTCTGCGCGCCTCTTCTTAAGAGGAAGCGTGTCTCGGGGTGTCTGTAGATGGCCTTTGGTCCACATTCCTAGCCTTCTGTCCAGGGGAAAGTCTTTTTGCTCCAGCTTCAGCTCAGTGGAGAGGGTTCGGGGGATGGAAGAATCCTGAGTGGGGCAGGTAGAGGGTGAAGAAGACAAAGGGCACTGCCAGCTGCTGTACGTGTGGTCCTCCTGCTGCTCATCACAGTTGGAGGGAGACTCGATGAGAACACTGTGTTTAGCTCGGGATAAGAAGTCCCCCAGAGCTGATCTGTGATGAGAAAGAGAGAGAGAGAGATTGTGAATTTAATTTCTTGTGTATATGCTCTACTTACTCAATCAGACCCCAATGACCCTATTCAATGTTTCCCAAGTACTGACAACACAATTTTCAGAGAACATGTGTCAGAGATCTTTCCACACTGCACGACTTTCTGGGGCAGCATTCAGTCACTACAGGATTCACGCTGCACGATAGATCGGCAACAGATTTCTCACCATAGGACTTTCGAAAAGAAGTTTCAAACTACATCTCGCAAACAAACACTATGTCGAATCTATGCCACGAAGGATTGAAGCAGCTCTGAAGGTAAAAGGGGTTCCTGGTGCTAGCAAGGTGTACCTAATAGTGTGTATTTTAAAATAAAGGTCACAGGGTCTGCTGAAGCCTACTCATGTGACAATATCTTCATGGTAAAATCTGTATTAGATGGGGGCACTGACCTGACAGCTGTGGTCCTCTTGCTCACAGGACTCAATGGAAGGGGTCTGATTACCGGGAAGAGCCCCTGAGCAGCGACATGTGAGCCATGCTGGATTACCCTCTGAGGAACTGGCAAGAACACAAACACAATCAGACAATCAAGAGAAACAAAACATTGTCACTCAGTTTGTTTTCTACATGGACGGAGCTGCTCAACATTTGTTTGTGACTCTCTCGTTGGGTAAAAAAAAAGATTTCAGTGGTTTCAAATTACAAAAGCCCCCCTAGTCCTCCCAATCCATCCAGTAAGCTTTGTGACTGGGGATTCTGCACCTTGGACGTAAACTGTTCACAGATGTATTTGATGCACACTGAGCTCTTTGCTTTTATGTAGACAGCCATCAAGACGTTCACATCACTCAAACGCCAACAGGGCTGCTCAGACACTTTTCACAAGCCTCCATTATTCCATTATCAAGAGCAGACGAGGAGCCACTACAGACAGATAATGTATCCATTTCCTTCCATTTAGCTGCTGGCGCTGGAGTTGATCGAGAGAGAAAAACAGAGAGAGAGAGAGAGAGAGAAAAGAGAGAGAGAGAGAGCCCTCTGATTGGAATCGAATGGACATTTAAACGACAGGGACACCAACAGAGAGAAGAGATGGACTGAGAAAGAGATGAATGAGCAGTTGTGGGAAATGAGGCAAAAAAGGATGATTCCTGAGCCAGGTCATCTAAAGGCACAAAGCAGCTGTCTGAGCGATAAAAGGGTATTTTTATCAATATAAAAATAGATCGAAATCAAGGAGCTTTTAGAAATGAATGAAAGCACTTAATAAACTCCGTCTCTGCCGAATACTTTCAAAGCACAGACTATAAAACAATCGTTGTACTCATCAAGATGGCAATTTGGGGAGAGGGGGGGGCTATTCGCACTTTGCATTACTATTACTTTTACTTTGCTACACTTTTTTTAACTCCCACGTCCAAATCAAATATCTTTTCACTAAGCGGCCCTATAAAAGCCAACTTATTGTTATTCATCTACAATTCGTCTACAGGGCGACGGTTCATCTTCCAGCAGGACAATGACCCAAAGCACACCACCAAAATATCAATAGAGTGGCTTCACAACAGCTCTGTGAATGTCCTTGAGTGGCCCAGCCAGTGCTCAGACCTACGGTAATTCCTATTGAACATCTCTGGAGAGATCTGAAAATGGCCGTAAACCGTCGCTTCCCACCCAACCTGATAGAGCTTGAGAGGTACTGCAAAGAGGAATGGGCAAAAATTCCCGATGACAGGTGCGCCAAGCTTGTGGCATCGTATTCAAAAAGACTTGAGGCTGTAATTGCTGCCAGAGGTGCATCAACAAACTATTGAGCGAAGGCTGTGAATACTTATGTGATTGTTCAGGTTTTGTATTTTTAATGAATTTGCAACAATTTCAAAAAATATTTTTCCACATTGTCATTATGGGGTGTTGTGTGTAGAATTTTGAGGAAATAAATGAATTTAATCCATTTTGTGGAAAAAGTGAAGCGCCATGAATACTTTCCGGATGCACTGCATTGCTTCACACAAACTATTTGAAATGTATTTCCTCCAAGACATTTCCAGCTAGAGCCACCAAACTGACTGGACTCGGGTTGCTATATCTTTTCAGACTGGTACCATTAAAGCATTTTCTGGGAAATTGCTGACAATTTTGGGAAATCTTCAATTGATTTAACTGGGGTCAAATTTTGTAAGGCTATAACTCAAACTTAGAAACTCATAAAAACTGCCACACTTGTGGAGGTTACTAGTAAGCTCCCTAGCAACCAAACTTTTTACTCTAGCAACGACAACACTTCTAAGCATTCATTTTCATTCCCGCTTCTTCCCTTTCGGGGTCACAGGGGTCTGCCGGTGCCTATCTCCAGCACACATTGGGCGAGAGGCAGGGGTACACCCTGGACAGGTCGCCAGTCCATCACAGGGCAACAACACTTCTTAGCACTGGTAAATAATAGAGACATGGGGGTTGGTTTATATAACCTATAGTGACAAAGCAACATTATATTAGGTCACTGACCCTTCATAGCAACCAGATTGTTTACCATAGCAACCAATTTGGGATATCTCTTTTTCAGTTTAGGAAAATCAGAGAGGTGTGCGGGTTGGTTTATTTCACTCATAGTGACACAGGAAATATTATGTTACGTCACTAACTTATCCATTAGCAATCAGATTGTTTTCCATATTATGAGATCTAAATCTTGAATTATAGATGATTTAAAATGATAGGTTCCTGACCTCCATAGTCAACCAAAAAATGCTATCTTAGCAACCAAAACCGTTCTCAAGTCAATTAAAATTTGTGTTTCTTGTCAGAGTCTATAACTGCAAGACGGCTGGACACGATTTAATGCATTAACAGATGGAGACAACGCAGTTAAAATGACACAAATCTCATATACAGTTTTATGCCAGTTGACATTTTTTAAGCCCAAGCATAAGAAGACTTTCCAGTACCTTGCAAGAGGACGCCTCCATTTTTTCCAAAAAGTGCGCTTCCGGGCCAAAGTGGAGGACTAGGAGGACAACACAGTGTTAGAAAAAGAAAGAGACTTTTTAAAAGTCACATAAGAAACAAATTGCCTCATGAGCATCTCCACATCCTGTAAGTCAATAACAGAAAAAGCCAGAGCGGAGGAAGCAGAGAGTGGAGAATGAACGGAATGAGGAACAGAACCGATGTGGAATGTAAACTAGAGACTGAACGGTATTCAAGGAATCTAATTGTACAAGCACCAGCATCAGGTCGAGGCTATTACATACAGCTGCACTTTCCTTTTATATTGAGAAATGAAATAAATGACTTGACTGTTCATGAACACTGGTTATAACCTCTAAGCTGTGATGAGTTAACTTTTCTTGGTTAAATCCAATTTATGTCCATGTCCACTACCCGCATTGTTAGAGGGAAGGAGACATGTAGTCATTTTTCCAGTACAATTCAGATCCAAAACCTCCTTCTCTGTAACTAAGCTCTGTTCATTCAGATGTCAGATTATTTTTGGCGCGCACACCGTGTCAGTTCTGGCAGAGCATTCAAAACTTAATGAAATTGCCTGAGCTCATTAGACGTTGGAGGCTACGTGACATTAGCCCTCGAAGGCTAGGAGCCTAGAGTTATGTCTTGCTGCAATAACCGGATCAAAACCGGAAGGTCCCATTTTCAAGGCTACTTCCTGCTAACTTTGGACTTTTCTACTTAAACACTGGGTGATCGGATACACATCGACCTCACAACTGTTCAAAAAATCATTTGAACCCTTTTTAACTTTTATAAACAACCGTTGCCAAAATTGTTCAGCGAACATATCCGGGCAGAAGAGATCTGTTGCTATGGCATTTA